AGAGTGTGTTGTATGTATGTATGTATGTATGTATGTATGTATGTATGTATGTATGTATGTATGTATGTATGTATGTATGTATATTTTAGTTTAAATAACAAAATATAAAAAAATATATAAAACATATTTTATTAAATTATATTTTTCAAATATATCAATTTGTCCTTCTTTCACCACTTTTTTATATCATCAATCCATTTGTAAGACAACTAATCTTTTTAATTTAAGACACTTTACTTTCGATTGTTATAAATCTTAGATTTAGTTTTACCTTTTAAAGTAAATTAGTGTAAATTTTTAATAAAAGTATTATTTTAAATAAAAAAACATTAGAAGAGTTTAAAATAAAAATAAATTTTAATCTCATAAAAAGCTAATAAATAAATAAATAAATTAAAAGAGTTAGTATTATTTTTTTCAATTCATTTTTATATTAAAAAATATTGCAATCCAAAATAAGTAAGTAAACTGTTTTTACCAACAATCAAGTGTCAAATTATAGAGATTAGTGCATTTTTGTAAACCAGAAACTATGCTTGATAAGCCTTAATCACTAATTTCATTTTCACTTTTTAAATTTGAAGAAAAAATAATATAGTTAATTAGTTTGTTATTAAGATAATTAAACACAAAAAATGAAGAAAAAATATGAAATAATAACAAACGAATTAATTAATTAATAAATAATAACATAAAAGTTGAAAATGAAAAAATAAGTTAAATTAACAAATAAAAAAACACAAACATTAAAAAAAATCAAATCAAAAGATGAAAGTTAATTAATTAATACAGTTTTATTATTTTAAATTCATTTTATATTAAAAATTGTCAAAATCTAAAACAAATAAACTGGTTTTACCGAAGAAAAAGTTTAAAATCTTTGAGATTAGTGCATTTTCCTAAAAAATAACCTAAGCTTGAGACACCTTAATCACCAATTTAATTTTAACTTTTAAAATATTGAAGAAAAAATATAAATTTAATTAATTAGTTAGAAGGAAAAAATAATGAATAAATATGAAATAAAAAGAAATTATTTACTAAATAATAAAAAAAAGTTAAAAATGAAAAAATGAGCTAAGTTAACAAACAAAGAAAAAAATAAACCCAATTAGTTTTAAAAAAACGAAAAATAAATCAAATAAAAGATAATAAATTAATTAAAATAGTTAATTCTTTTTAAATTCACTTTTATATCTAAAACAAAAACTTTTTTTACTGAAGAAAAAGTTCCAAATTTGAAAAATTAGTATTCTTCCCTAAACTAGAAACTAAGCCTGATGCACCTGCATCACCAATTTAATTCCAACTTTTTAAATATTGAACAAAAAATATATAGTTAATAAATTATTTAGAAGGAAAAAATTAAGAGAAGATATGAAATAATTAATAATACAAAAGCAATTAACAAGAAAATGAGTTAAATGGACAAATAAATAAAAAAAATGCAAACAGAATAAAAAAAAGAAAAATAAATCATATAAAAAGCTAAAATATAAATTAAAAGACTTATTTTATTTTAATTCATTTTTATATTAAAAAATCACAATCCAAATTAAATAAACAATTTTTACCCAAGACCTAGGTAGAGTGTTGAGAGTCTAGTACAATTTCCTAAATTAGAACCTAAGTTTGAAGCACCACTTGCACCAATCTAATTTTCACTTTTTAAATATCGAAGAAAAATTATGTAGCTAATTTGTTAGTTAGAAGGAAAAAATGAAGAAAAAATGTAAATAATAAGAAATTAATTAATAAATAATAAATAATAAATAAAAAAGTTAAAATGAAAAAATAAGTTAGTTAAACTAATAAAGAAAAATAAAAACTCAACCCGTTTAAAAAAAATAAAATAAATTAAAAGATAATAAATAAATAAATTAAACAGTTAGTTATATTTTTTAAATACATTTTTATGTTAAAAAATATCATAACCCAAAATAATTAAACTACTTTTACCTAAGAATAAGAGTCAAATTTGAGAGATTAGTGCAATTTCTTAAACCTAAACCTAAACTTGATGCACCTTCGTCTTTAATTTAATTTTAACTTTTTAAATATTGAAGAAAAAAAAATACCTAATTGTCAAAGAAAGAAAAAATGACAAAAAAATAAAATATTTAATAATAAAAACAAAATTTAAAAATGAACAAATGAGTAAAATTAATAAAGATAGATAGATTAAAAAACACTTGCAACATTAAAAAAAGAAAAACAATTCAAGTAATAAGCAAATAAATTTTAATTTTTATGCTAAAAAATATCAGAATACAAATGAGATAAACAAACTGCTTTTTTACTCAAGATTAAGAGTCAAATTTGAGAGATTAGTGCACTCTGCTAAACCAGAACCAAAACCTGATATACATTCATCTCTAATTTTATTGAGCCTTTTTAATTATTGAATAAAAAATATATAGTTAATTATTTACTTTGAAGGAAAAAATGAAGAAAAAATATTAAACTATTGCAAACTAATAGTAAAACAAAAATTAAAAAAAAAAATAAGTTAAATTAATAACAAAAAAATTTTTAACAAAATAAATAAAATAGTAAAAAAATCAAGTAAAAATTTTACAAATAAATTAAAAGAGTTACTGTTTTATAATAAATTTTATGCTAAAAATAGCACAATCAAAAATAAATAGACTTACTTAATATTGAGTTCAAAATTTGAGAGATTAGGGCATTTTCCTAAACCAGAGCCTAAGCCTGATGTGCCTTCACCTCCAATTTAATTACATCTTTTTAAATATTAAAGTAAAAAAATATAATCCATTAGTCAGTAAATAAGTTAGTTAGTTAGTTAAATATTAAATAATAATAAATTAATGAATAATTAAAGCTAAAGTTGAAAATGAGAAAATAAATGAGTAAAATGAATAAACAAAAAAAATATAAACAGAATTAAAAAGTAGAAAAATAAATATACCAAGAAAAATTTTGTAAATAAATTAAAACAGATAAATATATATATTTTTTTAAAATAAATTTTATAACTAAAGATATCACAATCAAAAACAAATAAATTATTCTTACTTAAGATTAAGGGTAAAATTAGAGAGAAGAACACATTTTCCTAAACCAAAGCCTAAGTCTGTAACACCTTTATCACCAATTTAATTTTTCCTTTTTAAATATTGAAGGAAAATTAAAGAGTTAATTAGTTAGTTAGTTACAAGTTCAAAATATCACAATCAAAAATAAATAAACTGTTTTTTACTAAAGTTTGAGTATCAAATTTGAGAGTTTAGCGCATTTCCCTAAACCAGAGCCTAAGCCTGATGCACCTTTATCGCCAATTTAATTTCGACTTTTTAAATATAAGAAAAAATAAAGAATTAATTAGTTATTTAGAAAGAAAAAATGAAGAAATAATATAAAATAATAATAAAAGTAAAAAATTATTATGAAAAAATGAATTAAATTAAAAATTAAATAAAAAAAACTGAAACATGATAAAAATAAATAATACAAAAATTAAAAGATTCTATTAATTAAATTCATTTTTATATTAAAAAACATCACAATCCAAAATAAATAAATAAACTATTTTTACCCAAGATAAAGTGTCAAATTTGAGAGATTAGTGCACTTTCCTAAACCGTAACCTAAGCCTGATACACCGCTATCACCAATTTAACTATTTCTTTTAAATATTGAAGAAAAAATATTAAGTTATTAGTTTGTTAGAAGGATAAAATGAAGAAAAATATGAAATAATAACAAATTAATTAATGAAATACAATTAGAATAAAAAAAAAACAAAGCAAATTAATAAAAATCAAAAAAATAAAATAAAAGAGTTAATTAATTATATTGTTTTAAATTCATTTTGTGTTGAAAAACATCACAAGCTAGCTAAAACAAATTAACTGTTTTTACAAAAGAATAAGTTCTAAATTTGAGAGATTAGTGCACTTTCCTAAGCCAGAACCTAAGTCTTTTACACCTTAATTAGGAAAATAATTTCCACTTTTTAAATATTGTAGAAAAAATTAACAATTAATTTATGAAATAATAACAAAATAAATATTAATAAATAATACAAAAGTTGAAAACAAAAAAATTAGTTAATTTAATAAAGAAAAAATAAACATAAGCATTTAAAAAAATGAAAAATAAATCAAATAAAAAGCTAAAAATAAATTTATTTAAATTCATTTTTATGCTAAAAAATATCACTAACCAAAATAAATAAATTTTATTACAAAAGTAAAAGTTACAAATTTTAGAGATTAATGAACTTTCCTAAGCCATAACCTAAGCCTGATGCAAATTCATCATTAATTTGACTATCACTTTTTAAATTGAAACAAAAATTATATAGTTAATTAATTAGTAAGAAAGAAAAAATGAAGAAAAATTGTAAAATAGTAAGAAATTAATAAATTAACAGTAAAAGCAAAAGTTAAAAAAACAAGTTAAATAAACAAAGAAATAAAAAAGAGAAACGAGAAAACACAAGGTGAATAAAAAAAAGAAAAATAAAATATCAATAAAATTCTAATAAATAAATATAAATTAAAAAGTTTTTTTATTTTAAATTAATTTTCATGTTAAAAAATATATATGAGTAAGAATACAAAACAAATATACCCTCTTTACGAAAGTGTAAGTGTCAAATTAGAAAGATTATTGCACATTCCTAAACCAGAACACAAACCAGATGCACCTATTCCACCAATTTAATTATTACTTTAAAATATTTAAGATAAATATATTTTTAATAAGTTAGTTAGTTAATAGATTTAAAAAATGAAAAAAAATTTGAAATAATATTAAAAAATTAATTAACTAACAAAAAAATAAAAATAAAAAGAATAAAAAAAATAAATCAATTAAAAAGCTTATTATTAAAAGAGTTAGTTATATTTTTTAATAACAATCCAAAACAAATAAATTGTTTTTACTTAAGACTAAGTACTAAGTTTGAGAGATTAGAGCACTTTCTCAAACCAAAACCTAAGTCTTTTGCTCCATACTTGCAAATTTAATTATAACTTTTTAAATATTTAAGAAATAAATACAATTGATTTGTTAGCTAGAACGAAAAAATATGGTAAAATTATGAATTAATGAAAAATAAATAAATAAAAATAATAATAAAAGTACAATTAAAAAACAGATAAATTAATAAACAAAGAAACATTAACACAAAAAAGATAAAAAAAGAAAAATTTATGAAATAAAAACTAATTTAATTGAGTTTTTTTGTTTTAAATTTATTTTTATTTTAAAAATTTCACAACCCAAAACAAATAAATAATTTTACTCAAGATTAAGTTTCAAATTTAAGAGATTAATGCACTTTCGTAAAGCATAACCTAAATCTGAAGCACCTTTATCACCAATTTTATTATCACTTTTTAAATATTGAAAAAATACAAATCGTTAATTAGTTAGTTCGAAGGAAAAAATGAAGAAAAAATATTATAAATAAGAAATGAATTAATTGATTGATTTATAATAAAAGTAAATAAAGTTAATAATTAAAAATAAATGACTTAAATTCACAAAAAAATAAAAAGAAGAAAATAAAATTTCATAAATAATTAATTAATTGATAAATAAATAAAT